AGTGCAAAAGCACATGTCGAAAAAACACTTTATCGCGTTCCATTTTTCACAAAGCAAAAGAAATTGTTGTTTAGGAAAATAATTGTGTATGCTGACTGAATGTTATCGAGAAATGTCGAAATTAATCACAAACTACCTGTTTCGTTAGTAATGACTACTAGAACTGTTTGCATTGCCATCTAACATTTGCGGGCGGAAACTAAGTTAAGGTCCTAATATATAAGAAAATATAAAGTACATTTATTTTTATTTCGGATTAAAAAGAGGCGTTACCTTGTCTAAAAATTATTTAAAATGTTAATTAAGTGTTATGTAAAAATTTGTTTTCTCGGTCTAAGTATCAATAAGTCAATTTTAATAAGATAGTGTGTACTCAAGTGTTTATGTGTATATACAGGGTGATCCACTTAAATCGAACATATTAAATATTTCATTTATTTTTGACAATACGGAAAAATGATTCAGATAAAAGGATTCAGATGGAAGGGTATCGAAGGGGATACATTTTGGTCACGTTGTTTTTTTTCTAGGTGAAGGCGCTAAAAAGATATGTGGGTCACCTTCACTTTTTTAAATAGAATTATGATTTTCTTTATAAATATGATTGCTTTATTTATTGTATGTATAAAACACATATTTTTTGATTATTTTCTTAACTAAATTTTTTGTAGAATGAAGTATAAAATATCTCGTAAACTATTGATTTTTCGACAATTATACCTCTTAGTATTTTTATACATAAAATAAATAGAGGAATCATATTTATAAAAAAATCATAATTTCATTTAAAAAAGTGAAGTTAATCTTCATATCTTTTTAGTGTCTCTACCTAGAAAAAAGTAACGTGACCAAAATGTATCTCCCTCGACATTCTTCCACTTTCATCTGAAACATTTTTCCATATCATCAAAAATAAGTAAAATATTCAAAATGTTCAATTTAAGTGGACCATACTATATATAGAATGCCCCCCACTTTAACATTCATACCGAAATGTCTCGAAATGTACAAAAAATACGGAAAAATGTTTCAAACAAAAGTGATATGGTTCGATGGAGGACATAAGAAAGTACCATTGGTTTGACCTTGAGTGGCGCGGCCAAGATCAGATCGAGGTCAACATTGCTTTTTTAAATAGAAACATATATATTTTTTTATTACGGAATTTTATTTTATACAAAAAAGCAAACAACTTTTGTTTGAAAAATTTTTTATACGACTTCTATTTTCTAAGATATTTACGGAAATAATTACGGAAATATCTAAAAAATTATTGGTCTCAATAATTTTTTACTCAAATTCTATCAACTTTACCGAAAAATAGCAACAGATAAAAATTATCTATTTTCTTCTCATAGAACTCTGAGAATTTTTTCAGAATTTTTAATAAACTTTTTAGTACTTCAAGAAAATGAAGAAAACGATGTACTAAAAAATTAATTAAAAAATTCTAAAAAAATTCTCAGATCTCTACGAGAAGAAAATAAACAATTTTTACCTCTTCCTATTTTTCGGTAAAGTTAATAAAATTTGAATAAAAAATTATTGAAAGCAATAATTTTGTAGATATTTCCGTAAATATCTTAGAAAATAGAGGTTATATATTAAGCATTTTTTCAAATAAAAGTTGTTTGTTTCTTTACGTAAAATAAAATTCCGTAATAAAAAATATGTGTCTATTTAAAACAGCAAAGTTAACCTCAATTTGACCTATTTTGAGATATTTCGGTGTAAAAGTTAAAATGGAATATCCTGCATATATATATATATATATATATATATATATATATATATATATATATATATATATAAGATATTAAAATATATAAAAATATAAAAAATCACAAGATCGTTGACCATTTAGTTTTCAAGACATTGATAAGAAATTGATATATATGTAAAATACACAATTTATGATAACGATTGAAGTATACGATAGCTAGGTAATGATTTTATATTACTTTACGTACGTTTCTTTTGGTGCCCCTTGATTAAATATCTTCTTGAATATAAAATTGTAAATAATCTTAAATATATCAATATGTAAAATATTTTCAATATGTAAAATATCTCCAATATGTAAATATTATCAATATGTAAATATATAATATATATGTAAAAATGTCAAAAATACGATAAAATTTAAAAAACCAATATTACAATTATTTTTCTAGTAGCGTACATTAGTTTATGAGTATATGTTTATAATACCTATATGTTTACAAACATACCTAATACGAGTAGTCCTAGCCAAAAATATTAATATATCAAAACATGAAAAATAATCATTTCTTTATGGGTTTTGAAAAATTATGTTTGATTGATATTCTCTTGCTATAGTGTCAAAAAGTTGTATATGTTATAAATCATATTTATAAACATTTAGCATAGATTTGTAGAGCTTCTTTGTATGGTATTAACATTACATTAGTTAACATAACTTTTTAGTAATATTGTCACGAAACAAACCTTAAAGTTTTATATAATATGCAGCCGTATATACTTCCTAGGATCTGACTGTATGTGTCCATCTTTCTTAGAATTTTTTGGCTGCTGGCACCTTTAGTTGTCAGTTATTAAGTTTTTTATTCTTAATTTAAAATTATTAATTTCTTTTGGATAATAAACTGGATAGACACTGTCTAAATCATTTTACATTTTGCTACATTTCACAACTTATTTGGTTACTTATTTGGTTACTGTTACTTTGTGGCATAATCAACATCATAATTAATCAATTTTCCTGAATATTTACTTCGTTTGGCACAAATAAGAGATTACAAGAAAATAAAAATTATACTGAAAAAATTAAGGCAATTAATTCGCCATTTACATCTCAGATAAATAAGTTCGCTGAACTCGATTGTAATTATTCCGAATGATCATCTTTTAGAATGTAGTATCGTGCTGTGACAATAAGATTAATTACATGTTTTCCTTTTTCTTCATAATATGATTAATTCCGACCATTTCAGTAAACACGTGGTGATCCACGTACCATACAAAATCAAGACCATTCATCATACGCACACGATCACGAAGCATGTGCATCATGGTGGTGACGACAAGTACGAGGTTCTTGGGTACACAGTAGGTCATCCGATTGATCTTGGAGGTCACGGAGGTGGTGGCTTCGGAGGTCACGATTTCGGAGGCGGAGGCGGAGGCGGCGGTGGGGGACACGACTTCGGTGGCGGCGGCGGCGGCGGCGGCGGCGGCGGCGGCGGCGGTGGAGGACACGATTTTGTAGGTGGTGGTGGAGGACACGATTTCGGAGGCGGCAGCAGTGGTCACCTAGATTTTGGTGGCGGCGGTGGTTACGATTTTGGAGGCGGAGGTGGATTTGGAGGCGGTGGTCATGACGATTGGTCAGGTCGTTAGAAAAAATGTTCGTATGTACATTACTAATTCGACTCGTCGTTCGTCAAAAACGTGATAATTCGCTTTGGTAATTGACATGGTAATAATCTTTTGAAGCTTAACAAAAAATGTCGTAATTTCTTTATAAGAATTATGAAATTGTTGAAAGAAAATTCGAAATTTAGAATGAAATTTAACAGTTTCATATGTGCGTGTATGTATGCAAAGTTACGCAAAATTTACTACGCATAAAGGTGACCGGGAGATAGAGCTAGATGCCCCATATTTCAGAATCTCAAAGTTACAACTCCTCAGACAACTAATTGTTGTGTACTAACTGTACAAACATGATAGAGACAGTCTTTTTCTATGTGTTAGTGCCTGCTATGATCCTGTTATATTTTGTTTTATACCAAAATACATTCATAAACTTACAGCAACATGGTCATTTTGTCCTGGGTTCAGTTGCCCAGTAACGCAATTGAAATCATTCATTAGGGAAAGAAGGCCATATAAGAAGATATAAAATATATATTCTAATTAATAGTTTCGAGGTCTTTGTGAGAGGTATTCACAACCCTCATTAGAGGAAGAAGGCCATATAAGAAGATATAAAATATATATTCTAATTAATAGTTTCGAGGTCTTTGTGAGAGGTATTCACAACCCTCATTAGAGGAAGAAGGCCATATAAGAAGATATAAAATATATATTCTAATTAATAGTTTCGAGGTTTTTGTGAGAGGTATTCACAACCCTCCTGTCGGCCTTTAATTATGAGCTAACTTTACCATGTACTCAATTTCGATCATGTTATGAGTAAAAATTACTTTCATTATCCGAAACAGTACATTATATACTTGTAAGAAACTTTATTCTAGCAACATGTCGTTTAAATTTATTCACTCACTGTGAAGAATATTAACACAAAATTTCGAGAGACTAGAAAATTGCTACTAATAGAACAATTTTTATATTTTTTAACTATAATATTATTCTGATTTTAATGAAACTAAAAGAGCCATTTTGCGATTTTGCATTCAAACTGTCTTTTTCGAGATAAATATTAAAAGAGTACATGAATAACATATTCTTGGGGCTATCTAGAGTCTGTTTCTCCTATACATTGAAAGAGATATGTAACATAGAAAGGCGCAATAACATCTGATGCACTTACAATGCACTTCTCATTTAAACTACAAGAACTCAAAATGAAAAATTTAATGTTTCTCAATGTATGTATGCTTCAGAATTGAACACTCTATGGCGCACATATTTATAATAATGTGAAAGAATCGTTGATAGATTGCATCAATGCGCTTAATAAAATTTGACTGGTGCATCCCGGTCGATATTTCGTCCTCTTTGTTGCTTTTAAAAAGCTACTGAATGTCTTCCCTGTTTTTATCTCTAGTCTGAGTCTCTTGTTAAATCCTCGACACATCTTTCGAGCACAATGCTAATGTAAATATTGTTACTTGTTGTTTAATTCTTGTACTGATATGCGTTATTTTTTATATCTATGTTTTTTACACACATTACAAACAATAAATAAATTATATTATGTTTTTACGGAATGAGTTTCCAATTACCTATGCGTTTCCAGTAAACTGCAAACCTGGTGGTACTTCTAAAACTTTAAAAATATTTTTATTATAGTTGTAACTAAAAAAATATTGAAAAGCAAATAAACTATATTTCCAATTCTTATTCAACTATATTTTTCAATTCTTTTATGTAAATAAATACCTGCAATGCACCTGCAGATCTGCAACTTCTCATACATGCGAGAAGAAACAACGCGAGAGCACTGGAATCCACAGCAAACTCTATATACACTGCAATATGAAAGCACACGAATTCTATTGAATGGCAACGAGTCGAAAGAGATAACTGCTAAGTAAAATTTACTGTCTGTCTTTCACATATTTCTTGAGCTGAAAGTGTTAGTTTACAAGTGCACATACTACCAATCAATACATTGAGAACAAAATATGATTTAACACAATACGTAAAAACTATTAATTATAATATATTCAAAACACATGACCTATAGAAAATAGAGAGGACGTGAAAGAAAGAGAAGATGTGAAAGAAAGAGAAAGGAGGGACGAAAAAGAGAGAGATAGAAAGGAAGCAATATTACTTACAATTTGCCGTAGGTTCGTGTCTGTGAAGAGGTGGTGATGTGAAATAGGTGTGAGACGTATATAAACAAGGATTAAATAAAAGTTTTATTAACTCGTAATTGTGTGTGTATTTCTTAAAGATTATAGAAACTTGCGCATACTGCCAGCGGTTATTTTATAATCTATTAATTCTAAAATAGAGAGGATAGCTTAGCAACAGCTTGAACTGTCGCGTCGACACAAGCCGTCCTCGAAAAATTTTGCATAGTCTGTAGAATGTGCAATGCGGTGCTGATGCTGAAGTTACACTTCCGCCGCAATTTGAATCATTTAGTCTTTGATTGTATGATTTTATATGGTCATATAAGGAAATTTGATTCGGCATCCATAACAAGTTCGGCTATTTGTAAACGAATTCTGTTGAGAATTTATCTTGCACAATATATTATAGATTGTTATTTATATTGTTCGATTACTAATTAATCGGGTCATTCCTCCTTGACGAAGCGAACTAAAATGTTTGTAAAACGTTGAAATCAGACAAAGAAGAATTCACGCGATTCAAATCCGAAAACTAAATATAATAACTTGTTAATCCGCCAAAGTTAAATTAAGAAGTTGATAACTTTTAACTTCAAACTAATTAGTTTGAAATGCATTAGCTCATTAACTTTATTGATATAAGCTAAAATAATTCATCAATATTAAAATTATTCTGAGCTACTTATAAATAATACAAAAAAAAGTATACTTTTTAGCAATTTTCCAGTGCACTTTTTTTAGCACTAGAACATCACAGACGAAATTTTGTACTAACAAAATGCATATTTTTATACAATTGTATATAAATATGATCAAAACAATGTTTAAAATTAAATAAGATATCCGTAATAGCAAGTTTCAAATACAAACAATTAATAGTTAATGTAAATTTTACAATTTTTGAGTTATTCATCCTACAAAAGTCCATTATCAAATTTCGAATCCATAGCGGAAAAGACAGCAATTCGTCTATTTACAGAAATTATTAAATATCGACACATTTGTCATCAACGCTCTTCAAGTTGCAACAAATGATATCGATATTGATTACCACAATTGTTATCGATAACTATTTCCACGATAGACAAATCCTACACTAATCCAAATCTTTAATAAATATTTACACGTCACTATCAAACCATATTTGCATTTTAAAATATGAGCAGTATAATGCGTTCGCGAAGCAAAAACGGTACTATAATCGTAACAGTTATACAATATTTTAATAACGCTACCGAAACGTCTTTCAATCGCGTTGCCTTGACTAAGTGGAAGTGCAAGCGCTGCAGAAAGCACCGCATTGCACATTACGCAGTACAAATTTTGTACGATACGTGTCCACCAGGCGATCGCCGTTGTCATCAAGCCATCCTCCCTAATAGGGAAATTTGGGCTATTATAAAATATTAGAGTCAGCCATCCAGGCGAGCCTTTCGAACGTGGACGATACGCAAGTCGAACACTATTGTAATCGGGAATCGTAAACAATAGAAAAAAGGAGACAACCGAATAAACATCTTTTTATTCCGTTTATTCAAAATCATTGACAATCATTCTCTTCACCGCGTCATTCTCTTAACCGTCAGCGACATCGAATCCCAAACGAACTTTCCTGCGTCCTCATCCTCGCGGGCGCAACAAATCTAGTGGCAGCAATGGGATCTCAATGGTTGAGCTTGCAACAGAAAGGAAAAAGGCAAATTATAAGCGACAAACTAGTGATCAGTCAGAGCTAAGTCAGAGAATTGCAAAATTTGGATGTATATCAGTTGGACACGGGGCAATTGGACACAGTCCAATCACAAGTCGCTGTTCCAAGAGACCCTACAAATATCTCTAATCACACGGTGCTGTGATTGGCTGTGTCCAAATGCACCGTGTCCAAGTGCACCGCTCCCGCAAAATTCGAAGCACACACGAGACACTTTCGACTCCCCCGAAAATCATACAAACAACGAGAAGACTGTGGGACCGTAGAGAGACAGTGAGATCGTGAGATAATGAAATAGTGAGATCGAGGACAGCCGTCGGAGCTACGACTGCCAACGCTTGCTATCAGTAACACCGGAATCTGCATGAGCTTGTTGAACTGACCTGCCCTAAGTATCGTATAGCGGAGCAAACTACAAAAAGCAGTAACAGCCCAGCTGATCAAACTTAACATCGAGCAGCGACCGACAAGGGATCTTGCAGCTAAACTGCAAACGCAACGGAATACATCATGCGCTTTGCAACTATACTGTAAATCCGAAGGACACTGTTAATTGCGACCGCGTGCGCCAAACAAGAATTGAATGTCGGAAAGGAGTAACATTCTTCGTGAACCGATCAAGAATCGAAGTTGGCTCCACAGCGAGCCTGCGACTAGAACGCTACGACGCCTAGTCGAACAAGATAATTCTGATTCTACCCGTCTGATAGACGACGCGAAACGATCTATCCAAGAAAGCGTGCGTCGTGCGTTAGAATATAACGACGAAAGTCCCAGTGAAACTTATTCTCCCATTCATGTAGTCGAGCGCAAATTCGAATTCGCCGAAATAAATGAAAGTATCTGTGTGGAAATTTCGACTCAGAATTATCTAGGTGCGAGCCAGTTTTCCTAGACATTATCTAGCGTCCATACAGTAAACTTGTCTAGCGCTTAGCTCTATATGTAAGCTTGTGAAATTTAGCTCTTATCCAGTAAAACTATCCAAGCACTAGATAGCACTTTTCTACGCCGCTAGCTAAGGGCAGGCATGCTTTTTATCCAGTACTACATTTCAAATTGGAATAATGTGAAATAAAAGACAGACTATTTATAAAATAAATAGAGGAAAGTATAATGAAATATTATTTTGTCTAAATAACAAAAAAATAGCATTTCATATTTTGTATCGTTTTATTTATTCGTGAGATTCACATGAATTCGTTCTGTGTCAGAGAGTTACCATCTTTAGATAATTATATGTCATGCTGTTCAATGTCTAACGTCAACGATCGTACGGGAAGTGGTGATGTCAATACGCTGTAATGATATCTTGTATTATATTTACAATATATTCTTATAGCGTTAAAAAATGCAATGACATATTTGTTGGTAATTGTTACAAAGGACGTAACAACAATCATAACGCGATAAAATAAAAAGAATATTCCTTCTTTTTCTTTCTTTTGTGAGCATGTTGTATGTTAAAGTTTGATTACTTATACAACATTGTATCAATATTAATCGCATTGTGATTGTTGTTACGTTGCAACGTGATGGATTTGGTTTGGATGCGCCCACCTCTCAAATCGCAAAACTTCTTTTATTCTCCAAGCAAAACAAATTTTAAATTATACAAATGTAACTAAAAAAAAAATAAAAGGGAATAAAATTAAAAGAAAAAAAACAAAGTTGCTTTTCTTCATAGGAGTCCTCCTCCTGATAATTACATAGAAAGCTCCTCAATATCAAAATTTGTCCAATCTATTACCCTAGTAAAATGTCTTTGTCATAAAGTGATACTAAAATAAAAATAAAAGAGAGGAAGTCAGTAATGATTTTGTCACCTCACACAGTATGAGTTCATCGGCTTGCCCGTAGAACTGAAAGTAAGCAAAGTGAAGAAGACAAGACGTCTTCTTCACCTTTCTCTTCGCGAGGGCCATCGGATATGCCGATGAGCTAAGAAAGAGAGAGAGAAGTCAGTATACTTCACCATCTCGCCTTGCATTTGGAGGTTCATCGACTGGTCAATATGACTGAGATCACAAAGAATAAATTCAATATGGCTTCGCCACGTGATCCCGTTACTGGGACACGCATTGCTCAGAATAATCGAGATAATCTATCCAATAAGTTATAAAGAATACTGAACCCATTGAGTCACTATTAATCGTCACAGAAATATGCTAATATTAATTCTAATTCTTAACTCCACTGAAACATTCACTCGAAAAAATTAGAAAAGAGCTCAAAACTTCGACGTGCACGTCACGATTTGCTGACCATTTCTATCTCTCCGCTCGGTTAGAGCATATATATATGGAGGGAGAATTGCGTATGCCTCCTGTAGACCAAAAGTGTGTCCAAAATATATGCGAGAGAAAAAGGTATATATTCCTATTCATCTTCTGTACGCATGCGCCAACATGCGTCAGTTGTTGCTGGGCTACAAAATTATAAGTTTTAATATTTTTTTACTTGAATTCTATTAACTTTACTGAAAAATAGCAAAAAATAAAAATTGTTTTTTTTCTTTTCATAGAGCTTGGAGAATTTTTTCAGAATTTTGTATTAACTTTTTAATACTAAATTTTCTTGCGTTTTCTTGCATTTTTTTGAAGTACTAGAAAATTAATACAAAATTTTCTGAAAAAATTCTCAGAGTTCTATGAGAAGAAAATAAATAACTTTTACTGTCAACTTTATAACCTAACCTATCCTGTCAACTTCAACGCATGCGCATATAGGAACGTATAACTTACTCTCGCACACATTTTGGACATACTTTCGTGCCAGCATTCCCCCTCCATGTATATATGCTCTAAGTTCGCTCGCCTCCAGCAACCCACGTGACGTCAAACGCAGTCTGCTGATTGGCGTTTCCGATCAGGCCCATTTCGCTTCCTAGCACCACTCAAATCTTAGATTGCGAATTGGCTACAGATGGTATAGCATTCGAACTATTCTCCCAACATACGTCCTTTGAAACATTTACTGACAAATATATCATTACATTTTTGAACGCTATAAGAGCATATTGTAAATATAATCCACCAAGATATTGTTACAGTGCATTAGCATCGTCCATTAAACTGTCTGACACGAGATCGAATCCACGCGATCTCACGAATAAATGAAATGACACAAAATATGAAATGCTAGTATTTTTTTGTTATTTAGGCAAAATAATACTTTATTATACTATCCTTTATATATTTTCAATAATAGTGATTTTTCACTGAATTTTTCTAAATTTGTACTGAAATATTAATGAAATTATAATAAAATTCTAATGACACTGGATCAATTGTGAATGGTTTTCAAAAATATTTTAGCAAAAGTTCATTACATTTTCCATAAATTATTTCCATCAGGGCTTATATTTCAATTGAGATCTTGCGGAAATCTCATAAGTTTTCAGTTACCATTTCACATGAGATTTTAATTGAGTTCTCAATTGAGATCTCCACTAAATTTTTTCAATAGGGCATATAGGCGCGATCAACATCGCGAATAAATCCCGATTATCCACAGATGCAATCAGACATTACCAATATATAACTCAAATTTAATCTAACCTAACACTAACTTAACTTTAATTAACCAAACAATTTGATTGGTGATGTCCAAATGGGTCTGTGGGCAATTAGTACATTCCCGACGTCACGGGGCCTGCATCGGAGTGTTTACCCCTATTCGAAGTACTGTTTGGATAATATTCTGATTGACACATGCAGCTCAGCTATTTCTCTAAACAGTGCGCCAAATTTAAAGCGCTTGTGAGCGGCTCTTTTATTGCAACATTCGTCACTTGAAAAGTTCGCCTACATTTTCTATTATATGTTTGATTTTTCGAATATATACAGAGTGATCGGAAACAATCACATTCGGTTAATATTCTCGTATTTTTGAACGAACTTTAAGACTATTTTTCCTCTTGCAAAATATTATCCGAGGCTTAGTTGCTGAGGTATAAAGAGAAATAGTCACTCACAGGCCAGATACAGAAAGTAGATAGGGGTGGCACAATTCACCGTCAGACACAGATGTTGCAATATGTGATAATATTCATATGGCTTAGTTTGTAAATTTTCAATGCTTGCGTCAATGTGATTGTACACAATAATAAATAAATTATTTTATCTTAGTTGAATATGATTATAACATAACATGTAAGGGTGAAATAGCGATTGCGTTCACGCGCGCGAATTTGACCTAAGTGCAATATAAACTTTACAAATACGAAAAACTTTAAAAATAAGCACGAGAAGAACGAAATATTAATCGTACAAAACATAAGATATTCTTACATTATTTGAGAAAACCGAGTTTACATTTCTTTGTAGAAATTATTTATCTTGAAAAAGACAGTTTTTAATACTATTATCAAGCGCGTCTTCGTTCCTGTAACACTTAGGTCAAGTTCACGTGCGCGAACATAATCGACTATTTCACTCTTACATGTTATGCTCTAATCATATTCAACTAAGTTAAAATAATTTATTTATTATTGTGTATTTATTATTGTGATTATGTACAATAACATTGACGCAAGCATTGAAAATTTACAAACTAAGATGTATGAATATTGTCACATGTGTATTGCCCAACGTCTGTGTCTGACGGTGAATTGTGCCGTCCCTGCCTACTTTCTGTATCTGGCCTGTGAGTGGCTAACTATTTCTCTTTATACCTCAGCAACTAAGCCTCAGATAACATTTTGCAAGAGGAAAAATAGTTTTAGAATTCGCTAAAAAATACAAGAATATTAACCGAAGGCGATTGTTTCCGATCATCCTGTATAAATCAATTAACAGAATGGGAGCTAGTAACACCGTCTATATCTAAAATATAGCTACTAACCACAGCTTGAAATTACTATAACTAGAGAGTAAATCTGACCAAAACCTAGCTACATTCCGTTTAGCATTTGTGGTGGAGAGCGGTGCACTTGGACACGGTGCATTTGGACACAGCCAATCACAGCACCGTGTAATTAGAGACATTTGTAGGGTCCCTTGGAACAGCGACTTGTGATTGGACTGTGTCCAATTGCCCCGTGTCCAACTGATATACACCCTTTGTGGTGTCATCTCCCGCACAGCAATTAATAACTATAGAATATATTAAAATCATCGCGGATATGCGAAATATGTATCAATCTCCTGATAATATCATCAGTATATTATAATGAATAAATTTCGAAAATATCTCCGTATACAATATCCAAAAGATATCTTATCTCAAATACGATAATGTGTAAAATATATCGTACAGACATCCTAAAGATAAGTATAAGATATAAAGCATATACATGGCTAGAGACAGGCATCTTTTTATTAATATTTCGAAAACTATAGGAAATGCACAAGTGACTATGGAGCATATACATCTCACTGTTTGTCGTCGGTGTGAGTTTTCCATCCGGCTTAACCGCTGTTACATTAAGACGTGTTCAAACACATTCGGACCTGTGATTCTTTTGAGAAATGTACCTTTTGATACTTTGATGAGAGTTTTCCGCAAAAAAAAGTCTGAATCCAAGTAAAATAAACAGAGAGAGAGAGAGAGAGAGAGTGAGAGTGACAGTGACAGTTTTCCTAACCTTAATAGTAGTCAACTTTGTCGGCTAATATTTCGCTTCGCAGTAGAGAGCGACGAGTTTGTCAGATGAAAAAGTTGTTTCTCGTGCAAAAACGCGTCGATTGAATCTACTGTCATCGAAAAGTGAGGGGCCTAAACTGAATAATTACCGAGAGCAAAACTTTTTCTTTTTCAGAAAAGCTAAAAATGTGGCATTACTTACGACTAATAAAGAAATAACTCCAACACAACTGCAGCTTGCATTGCATAAGGATATCATAACATCTCACGTGAATAAATTAACATTAAATTTATGATTAATAACATATGCGTTAGTTCATGTAATATTCCTATTATAGGTGATAACTTATAGTTATTAGATAATATATATAAACAGAATACTCATAACAACCTATCAGTTAAACATTTGTTAGTTGTAATTCCTGATTGAACAATATTGGTTCTATACAACCCGTATATTATACAATAAACTGACAAGGGGAACCCGGCAGTCTCTCATCACCGATTTGAATAAAATTTTATGGGTGTGTAGTATGCACTCATACATTTACTCCTGTAAAGCCGTAGGACCCACTATTGAGGCATTCTCGAGAAATATTTTTTTAAATATTTCGAGAAAAATTTTTGTCCCTATAATACCGTTACGGAAAAGCAATTTTCGAGCTAGCAGCGTAGCGTCCACGGTAAGACGTCCACGGTAGACTACTACGTTCGGGGTTACAGGTTCGATTCCCTGAATGATTTTTTTTTTTATTTAAATCTTATATATTTTTAAATTTGTATATAACACAATTTTAAACCGTTTTTAATTATTTTATATCAAATTTTTTAATAAGTAATTTGTACGTTAAATAAATATTTTTCTTAATCAAGGAATTTAAAAATGCTCATTTATTATTAATTAAATTAAACTTTCTCATGCACACAAAAAATATATTTCCAATAAGAATTTACAACGACTGTTATACAATAAGTTAAAATGTACAATTTACTGTTTTACAATAAGTTTGCAGCTTTTAGGGTGGTATTTATCATAAAAACATTTAAAACATAATAATTCGTTACACCATGCACATACAATCATAGACATTTCATGCGCACAGTCTGTACAATTTGTTTTATTAACAGAATCTGGCAAACAAACTTCGTTAACGTTTTTAAAAAAAGTTCTCTCATTTGTTATTTGAGATGCAAACCATGCATATTTTAACATATCACAAAAGATTGGTGCGCTTAACTGATTGTGAACTAAAAATTGTATTTTAATAGCATCCTCACGATTGGCTATTTCTCTATTGCTTTTAAGGAGATATGTACAATTTTGTAATTTTTTGCTAAATTTCTAACTTGTCTATAAAAATACACGTCGCATGGCTGGCATAAAAGAGTACACTTTGACGGAATAATTTTTATTTGACAAGATGGAATATCCTCGTCATCCACAAAAATATCATCATATATTTGTGAATTTGTTTGGTCACCCCAAGAATCTGTTATTAATAAAAACTGTTCATTCTTAACATATGGCTGTAATATTTCTTTTAAGAAGTCTTTATAGATATTTGTAGTTAATTTTCCTGACCTTGAACATTTGACGATGACATTACCAAATTCGACAACAAGAGCATCAACTTGCTTCTGTATTATTGGACCAAATTTGTCTCCAGTTTCTTGTAAACAGAGAAACACTTTTGGTACAAGCTTTCCTGAACAAGTTAATGCATATTGGGCCGTATAGGAATGAGAAATTTTATAAGAACTCTTCTTTTTAACAAATACAGATTGGACGCCTTTCTGTGCTAATGTCCGATCAATTGTTGACTGATATTGGCAACCAGTTTGATCTGTATTAATTATTAAATCTAGGGAATAATTTTGTAAAAGTGGTTGGATTTGTTTCCTAAATCTATCCGCAACAGCCAAAATTTCGTCCATTTCTGCTGCCTCTTTTTCAGAAACGTATTTGGTAATCCGTCGTTGCCGAATATTATTTCTGCGTTTAAAATCATCAGCCCACGTTTTTCCTGCTGAAAATTTAAATGTGCTGGAGAGGAATTGTTGCGCAGCTGCCATCGCCCATTGTTGTAACGTTCTTGTTGTGACTTGCTCGAATTTTTCTCTAGCTTCTGTAAATCGATCAAGTGTCCAAGAATTGATGGCATACAGTTTGTCAAATCGCGTTCCACCAGATAATACATCTTTTTCCCATCTAATAATAAAAATAAATAGAAAATCATTATAATTATTTAATGAATAGAATATAATACATAGAATGTGTTAAAATCGTATACGTACTGTTTTAAATCTCTTTTATATTTTAAATAATGTGCTCCTTTTCTCTGTAATGTTTGTAGCGACCAATTAGGATGTTCTTTTGCCATGGCTACAACTTTCCGTTTGTAATCCAAATCTATTGATTTGAATTTTTTTTTCTCCGGAGAATCGATCCACTCTTCCGAAAGTGGAGATAACTACGATGATGACGACTCTTCTAATGGATACATTGATGCACAATCAATAAAACTGTCATCAATATCTTCTTCATGTGGAAGCACTAATTCTTCCTCCTCAATGAGACGCATATCATTAACCATATCGACGATACGGTTATATATTTCGTGGCCTATAACAGTTGCCTGTTCCGTTGAAAGATCTTTCACAGACTCTTCTGGAATATACTCATTTTCAGCAAGCAACTTCTCGCTTATTTTTAAGGCACTTTTTAAGAGCAATTTGTTATTCAATTCTTGTTCTTCTTCCTTCGCACTAGCGCTCGTTGACGGTCCCGGAATATCCATATTGCAAGTAAAAGAGCACGAATATCTTCTGCAAACTATAAATAGCACGTCTAACTCGAAGAACGACTTTGTTGCTACTACCGGTTTGTCCGTTAGACGAGCGGTTTCATATACCTTCTAAGGTCCCGAACAAAAGACCAAAATTGTTACACTCGGGGATAACCCGTTGTGGGTATAACGATTTATGAAAACTCTGATTTTGACGTCCTTAAAACAGTCATTGTAAATTCTTATTGGAAATATATTTTTTGTGTGCATGAGAAATTTTAATTTAATTAATAATAAATGAGCATTTTTAAATTCCTTGATTAAGAAAAATATTTATTTAACATACAAATTACTTATTAAAAAATTTGATATAAAATAATTAAAAACGGTTTAAAATTGTGTTATATACAAATTTAAAAATATATAAGATTTAAATAAAAAAAAAAAAAAAACTATTCAGGGAATCGAACCTGCAACCCCGAGCGTAGTAGTCTACGCCTTACCGTGGACGCTACGCTGCTAGCTCGAAGATCGCTTTTCCGTAACGGTACTATAGGAACAAAAATTTTTCTCGAAATATTTAAAAAAATATTTCTCTAGAATGCCTCAATAGTGGGTCCTACGGCTTTACAGGAGTAAATGTATGAGTGCATACTACACACCCATAAAATTTTATTCAAATCGGTGATGAGAGACTGCCGGGTTCCCCTTGTGAGAGATATTCCAATTCATATAAAAAATCTTAAAAAATTGTGAGAATTTTCTGATATTCTGAGAAATCTTTCCACCAAAGATACATTTATTGTATTTGGTGTAATTCTATTTTGTATAATTTCTGCTATAATACTAATGTCTACATTATATTGATAATTGTTTAATATGTATATAAATTAGTATATCGGCATAAAATTGATTTACCAAGCACATTTTGTAT